TTGGGTCAGCTGCATGCAAGGCAAAGATCCCTACCCCTGTGCAATTAATTGCTCTGCCCCAAAGAAGTTAATCTTTCATCTAATCATTTTGATGCTTAAATGAGGTTGCTTAGTACAAACTCATCTCTCAAATATAGCTAGTGTATAGTTATGTAATAAGTGACATTGCTTAGAAAACAGATGAGCTGATTTATTAGGAAGAACCCAGAGACATCTTAGTGGCTGTGTCTTATTCATTCCTTGCACTACTAGGTGCTTAAGTATGATCTCAGCTGTACTGCTAGTTGGGATTCCTGATGACACAACAAAGTGTGTAAACACTACAAATGTGGTACCAGAAAGTTTGCACAACCAGTGTGCAAAGTGTCATAAGCAAGGCTAATATGACCCCATGTTATCACAACTATAATAATAATAATAGCAAAGTGTTTGGGAAAAGAAAACAAAAAAAACCTTATTAGTCATCTTGTTTTCCTTAGGGTTTTGGATTTCATTTAATTTGGCCTGTAAGTTTCTACTAGAGTAGAGACTGGGTTAACTGCACATCATTTGTTCCGTCCATCTTTTAGCATTCTTCCAACCAAGATAATCTAAATCCAGGACAGCACTGCATCAGTTTATCTGAAACTTTTTAGTTTCTGCTCTCAACAATCCAATGGAGACGTTACTGGGCCCGCTCGAGCAAATCGAGCTCTCAACAATCAAACTAACCTTCAGAAATGCTCTAAGATACCTGTAATTTCCCATAATTTAACTCTGACTTGTGGAAAGAGCTTAATGAAATTTACTAGATTATTTATACGTGCAGGATTATAGTACTGTGAATTGTAGACTTATCATTTAAACTTTGCTTGATAACCTTTCCAGTCACATTTAAATGCTGAGTTTGTATCCTCTCCCCTGTTTTCAAAATAGCCAGTGGAATAACAGTTGTGTAGAAAGTATTTTATTTGCATTTCATTCATCTACCAAATTTTCAAAATAGAAGCTTTCTATCTTGGGGCAATATGGTAAATTATTTGAGGGTTTGAAAATAGTAAGATATAGAAAATTTGGAAGATTTAGAAGATGATCTTGAAGTTTGGCATTTTGTGGGGAAGGAACCTCATACATTTTTGCTAGGCCCTCAACATGCAACACATGTGCTTTGTTACTAAGCTGTGTCTGTAGCCCCTCTAATATTAGTGTTTTGATTGAGTAGGGTATTGACAGTATCAATTTTCTCTACCCTAATGTGTTGAATAACTTCTATAATAAATTGGTTAATGATAATGAAAATTGCATAACAAATAACATTATTTCAGGCATTACTATATACAAAGTACAATGTATACTGGAAAAAGCTTTGTTTAATTTCTTTGTGTATAAATTTTTGTTACAACCTTGTTCACTATAAAATGTAAAATCTATATGTATGCTATTATCAGAACAATTTGTCTAAAATAAGTTATTTTATTTACTTCCCCAATTAAATGTTTTCAACTTAAGTGTATTAATTCTTACAAGATAAAGATGTTGAGGGACATTTTATAACACATATAATGTATCAATCTTGCCATATCTTATTGAGTCACTTCATTTAGTATATTATAACCCCCTTATATTTGTCTTTTTAACTTTTTAATTAGACTCACAGGAATTAGGGGAAAAAATGCATGTGGTCCCATATACTCTTATTTTTCCATCTTTCAAGAGTGACATCTTACTATAATCATGGTCGAGTATCAAAACCCGAAAATTAACATTGGTGCATTAGTATTAACCAAACTAAACATTTTATTTAGCTACCAAGATTTTAAAATATGTATCTTATATATTTGTGTAAGTACTACCACTATGCAGATATAGAACTGTGCCATCATTCTATATATGCCATACTAGTGTATTTTCCTATACTCCCACCTTATTGCTATTTTGAAAATGTCATATAAAATTATATTTTTAGGCCATAGAGATAGTATAGAGGTTAAGGTACTTCCCTTGCATGTAGCCAACCCCAGTTTGATTCTTGGCACCATTTGGTCCCCCAGCATTCCTGGGATCAAACCCTGAACACTGCTAGGTATATCCCAACCTTTTCCTAAGAGTATCTTTAAAAGTTTTGCTTGTTTTTTGGTCACACATGGTGGTGCTCAGGGCTTCTTGCCCTGTGCACTGGATTGCTCCTGGTGGTGCTTAACGTACCATAACGTGTTGGGGATAGAACCTGGGTCAGTCACATGGAAAGCAAGTGCCTTACACACTACATTATAGCTCTGGTCTCTCTTTAAATATTTTTATATTTATTTTTATTGTTCTTGTAGTTACGGTATGTTTATGGTAGTGCTAACATTTATGATCTTGATGTATAGCATGTACAGTTATTTTACATCACACCACCGAAGTCCCCAGAACCCTCCACCAATGTCTTTACTTCTCTTCTTTTTGCTGGGTGGTAGGTGGGCCATATTTGGCTGAACTCAGTGCCTACTCCTGGTATTATTCTCAGGGATCACTCCTGCTGCCACAACAGGTATATGAGTTGTTGGAGATCCCACTGGGTTGGTTGTATGCAAGGCAATCACCATACAGCCTATACTGTTTCTCTTATCCTCCTTATGATATTTCTAGTCCACATCTTTTTGCCTTCCCTTCCCCTCAATTTGGCAATTTCAGTTTTGTAGTCCAGGACCACAGGTTTCACATTCATTGCTGTCTAGATTTTTGTTTTGCTTCTTCATATACCAAAAATGAGATAGATCATCTAGTATTTGTCCACCTTCTGACTTATTTTATTTAACATGATACCTTCCGGTTTCATCCTAGTTACTGAGAATGCAATATTTCATCTTTCCTTATTGCTGCATAGTATTCCATTATATATGTATACTATTGCCTCTTTCTTCATCTGTCATTGAATAATTAGGTTGCTTCCATAAACATAGCTGTTGTATTAAGCATTACAATGAACAGAGGTGTACTTACATTTTTCAAATTTAGCGTATTTGTATTCTCTGATATATGCCAACCAGTGGTATTGCTGGATCACATGGGAACTCCATTCTTAGTATTTATTTATTTATTTATTTATTTTTATTAGTGAGACACCATGAGGTACAGTTGTAGACTTACAAATTTTTGTGCTTGGGTTTCAATTATACAATGATCAAATACCCATCCCTCCACCAGTGCCCATTTCCCACCACCACGGATCCCAGTATCCCTCCCCCTTCACCCCCCCCCCCATCCTACCCTGCCTCTGTGGCAGGGCATACCCCCTCCGTTCTCTCTCTCCTTTGGGGTGTTGTGGTTTGCAAAAGAGGCATTGAGTGGCAATCATGTTTGGTCTATAGTCTACTTTCAGCGTGCTTTTCCCATCCTGGGAGGATCCTCCCAACACCCTTTATTTGGTGCTCCCTTCTCTATTTGAGCTCCCTTTTCCCCTAGCATGTGTAGCTGGCCTCCAAGTCATGGAGCAAAATTCCTGGTACTAATCTCAGCCATTCTTGGGTGTTAGTCTCCTATTTTGACCCAGCAATACCACTCTTGGGAATATATCCCAGAGAGGCAAAAAAGTATAGTCGAAGTGACATCTGCACTTGTTTGTTCATTGCAGCACTGTTTACAATAGCTAGAATATGGAAAAAAAAACATGAGTGCCCGAGATCAGATGATTGGTTAATGAAACTTTGGTACATCTACACAATGGAGTACTATGTAGCTGTTAGAAAAGATGAAGTCATAACATTTACATAAAAGTGGTACTACATGGAAAGTATCACGTTAAGCGAAATGAGTCACAAAGAAAGGGATAGACATAGAAAGATTGCATTCATCTGGGGAACATAAAGTAACAAAATAGGAGATTAACATTCTTAGTATTTTAGAGAAGGCTCCATACTGTTTTCCATAGAGGCTGATCCAGATGGCATTCCCACCAACAGTGAAAGAGGGTTCCTTTTTTTTAACCAAATATCCTCCAACACTAGTTTTCTCCAGTCTTTTTAATATATGCCAAAACAAATGATACATTTTCAACTGATTTTTTTACCTGCAGATCAGCAGTGATCTGTGGCTGGTGGTTGAAAACTATTGATTTAAATTATTTTGTTTAAATTTTGTAAGTTTATTATAAATTTCATAATACCCTTTGGTGTTTGATCTTTTTCCACTTGAAGTAATTTTAAAGATTCATTCAGATGTTTGATTGTTTCAGTAGATCATAGTTTTGTTTCCAGGACATACTCAGTGATGCTCAGAGATAACTCTTGGCTCAGGGATTATTCCTGATTCTCAGTACTCTCTCTTGATTATGCTCAGTGGATCATCTGGGATCCTGGGGATCAAACCAGGGTTGGCCATATGCAAGGCCAACCATACTGACTCTACTATTTTACTATCCCCAGTTCATTTTCAATTGCTGGTAGTTTTGCCAGAGTTAGTTTAACCAAATATTCACCAACTGAACCACATTTGGGCTCTTTAATTTTTTGCAGAAAATTTTAGGAGAAATAACTACTATAAACTTACAAATATTTTATTGTTTTTATAACAACACACTTTTTAATATTTTTGAGAAAGTTATCCCAAAATGTGATTGATGAGTTTTATCAAAAATACCTGCTTATTACAAGAAATTGGCCAAAAAATTTTCAAAAATAAAAGTTACCATTTTTTCCTTCCCAGCACAAACATATGAGATTAAAAAGGTTTTCTGTATCTTTACCAATCTGTGGTGTTACTGTTTAAATTATATTGTGCAAATTGTATATAGTAATTTTCTTGCATTTTTATACTTACTTGAAAAATGGCATTATTTTAGGGTTTATTTTAGTTATGACCACTACTGCCTTCATCCCAACTCCTGATAGATGATGGCTTTTATTGAAGTTAAGTTGTCAGTGATTTCTTAAAATGATTCATTTGTACAGAACTATTAAATATATGCAAATATTTTGAAATTTGGCATGTGAAAACCAGTACTTTGAATTAAAATAACTTTACTTTTTTGATTATTGTAGTGGCTGGAATGGCTGGTACTGCACATATCGATGGAGACCATATTGTTGTTTCAGTTCCTGAGGCTGTATTAGTTTCTGATGTAGTCACAGATGATGGGATAACTCTAGATCCTGGCTTAGCGGCTGAAGTTGTACATGGGCCTGATATCATCACTGAGACTGACATAGTAACAGAAGGTGTGATTGTTCCTGAAGCTGTACTTGAAGCTGATGTTGCCATTGAAGAAGATTTAGAGGAAACTGATGGTGATCACATTTTGACTTCCGAATTAATAACAGAAACTGTTAGAGTACCTGAACAGGTTTTTGTGGCTGACCTTGTTACAGGTCCTGATGGACACTTAGAACATGTGGTCCAAGATTGTGTTTCTGGAGTTGACTCTCCCACAGTCGTATCAGAGGAGGTTCTTGTAACAAATTCAGATACAGAAACTATGATTCAGGCAACTGATGGTGTTCCTGGTTCTACAGTTACAATTAAAACTGAAGATGATGAAGATTTCGATGATGAAGAGGAGGATGAGGATGATGAGGATGATGATGAGGAGGATGATGATGATGATGATGTGAAAAGCACTTCTGAAGACTACTTGATGATATCCTGTAAGTGAAACAAAAATTCCATAATCACTTTGGAGAGTGTACATATATAACTTAGAAGGGTTTTCAGGAATGTTATATTTTTCAGTAAGTCATTGGGGGAAAATTATTTTGAAAAATTTGTTTTCGAAGTTGTATTGTTGTGATGCTTTTTATAATTTATCATGGTTTTAATGAATTCAAAATCCATACCAAAAGAAGCAAAAGTGAATTTTATTGATATCTTTGAAGAAATATGAATTTGGAAGATTCAGTAAGGATATTAACTGACAATTTTTATGGTATGTATGTATGTATATATATATATTTTCCAGTCTGGGAAATTTATGCTTGAACTTCTTTCTTTTAATTTTTTTCTTTCAAGGCATCGTGGTTTACAAAGTTAACCACAGTTGACTTTCAGAAATACAATGTTCCAGTACCAGTCCCACCACCACTGTCAGCATCTCTCCACCAGTTCTTAATATGGCAGAGACTAAAATTGTCAGTTCAGTTTTACTCAGGAATTTAAGCATATTAAGAAATGTATAATTTGATTTTTAATTAAATATTTTAAAGATGGGCATTTGATCATTGTATAACTGAAACCCAAGCACAAAAATTTGTAAATCTGCAACTGTACCTCATGGTGTTTCACTAATAAAAATCTAAAAAAAAATACAAAGTAAATTATAAACCCAGACTGCATTCTACAGTCCCTCTGTTTATTTTATTATATGTGTATTATATGTAAAGATACTTCAACATTTTATTTCATCAAATACTTTATTATGTCCTTAATACATTTCATTAAGGAAGAAAGAAGAAATATCCTGTCATCATTTTAATTGGTAGGATTGTTTGAACAACTGCAATACTGAAAATCTCATTTAGCTGATTGATGGAATCTGATGAAGCATATCTATTATTTTATAAAGTTTGAAGGAATCTTTCTTGAAGTTATAAATTGTTCACTTTCCTAAGAAGGACTCTTACTATATTTTGGAGTGCTCCCAAATGGTACTCAGGAGATCCCGATGATGATTTTCAGTCACCAAGGTTCTTGGCCAACTGGTTCAATGAAAATGCCCAAGGATGTGGTGCTCCTTGGAGCCTCTGTTTCTGGAGATTTCTTGGGTCTTCCAGGAACATGAACAATATCCAGGGCTATACCGAGATGTGCTTGGGGGGTACCATGTGTTTACAAAGATTGGCCTAATGCAAAGCTTGCACCTTGAACGCTATACTTGCTCTCCAAAAAGTCTTGTTTTCTATTTTTTATTTTTATCCATCCACCAGTGCCCATTTTCCACCAACATGGGTCCCAGTATCCCTCCACCACCCCAACCCCGCATCCCACCCGGCCTCTGTGGCAGGGTATTCCCTGTTGTTCTTTCTCTCTCGTTTTGGGTGTTGTGGTTTGCAAAAGAGGCATTGAGTGGCAATCATATTTAGTCTATAGTCCACTTTCAGCATGCTTCTACGATACAGGGAGGATCCTCCCAAGAGCCTTTATGTGGTGCTCCTTCCTCTATCTGAGCTCCCTTTTCCCCTAGAATGTGTGACTGGCCTCCAAGCCATGAGGCAAAACTCCTGGTATTAGTATAATTAGTATTAGTATAATCTCGGCCACTCTTGGGTGTTAGTCTCCTATTTTGTTACTTTATGTTCCCCAGATGAATGCAATCTTTCTATGTCTATCCCTCTCTTTCTGACTCATTTCGCTTAACATGATACTTTCCATGTAGTACAACTTGTATGTAAATTTCATGACTTCATCTTTTCTAACAGCTACATAGTACTCCATTGTGTAAATGTACCAAAGTTTCTTTAACCAGTCATCTGTTCTCGGGCACTCAGGTTTTTTCCAGATTCTGGCTATTGTAAAGAGTGCTGCAGTGAACAAACAAGTGCAGATGTCCCTTCGACAATACTTTTTTGCCTCTCTGGGATATATTGCCAGGAGTGGTATTGCTGGGTCAAATGGGAGCTAATTTTTTGAGAGTCGTCCATACTGTTTTCTAGATGGGCTGAACCAGTCAGCATTCCCACCAGCAGTTAAGGAGTGTCCCTTTCTCGCCACATATGCACCATCACTGATTGCTTTCTTTCTTTTGGATGTGGGCCACTATCTATGGTGTGAAATGATATCTCATTGTTGTTTTGATCTGCATCTCCCTGATGATTAATGATGTAGAGCATTTTCTCATGTGCCTTTTAGCCATTCGGATTTTTTGTTTGAGAAAGTTTCTGTTCATTTCGTCACTCCATTTTTATGGGGTTGGATGTTTTCGTCATGTGGAGTTCAACCAGTACTTTGTATATCCTTGATATCAACCCCTTGTTGGATGTGTATTCGGGGAATATCCTTTCCCATTCTGTAGACTGTCTTTGTATTTTGGTCACTGTTTCTTTTTTTTCATTTTTATTAGTGAGACACCATGAGGTACAGTTGTGTAGACTTACAAATTTTGTGCTTGAGTTTCAATTATACAATGATCAAATATCCCTCCCTCCACCAGTGCCCATTTTCTAAAACCATTGTCCTAGTAACCCTCCCACCCCCCATTTTCCCTATCCAACCCTGTCTATGTGGTAGGGCATTCCCCTGTCTTCTCTCTCTCTCCTTTTGGGTATTGTGGTTTGCAAAAGAGGCATTGAGTGGCAGTCATGTTTGTTCTATAGTCTACTTTCAGCGTGCTTCTCCCATCCTGGGAGGATCCTCCCAACACCCTTTATTTATTTGGTGCTCCCTTCTCTATCTGAGTTGCCTTTTCCCCTAGCATGTGTGGCTGGTCTCCAAGCCATGGAGCAACACTTTTTCTTTTGAGGTGCAGAAGCTTCTTAGTTTAAGATAGTCCCATTTGTCTATCTCAATTTTCACTTGCTTGGCCAGTGGCGTGACATCTTTGAAGATACCATTAGGTTCAGTAACATGGAAGTTTTTGCCAACTTTGTCTTCAATGTACCTTATGGATTCTGTTCTCATGTTCATGTTGAGGTCTTTAATCCCTTTTGATATTACTATTGTACATGGCGTTAGGCAGAGATCTGAGCCCCCTTTTTGCATGTAGCTGTCCAGTTTTGCCAGAACAATTTGTTAAAGAGGCTTTCCTTGCTCCACTTAAATTTTCTTGCCACCTTATCGAAGATTAGATGATCATATGCTTGGGAGGAGATGTCAGTATATTCAACTCTGTTCCATTGGTCTACAGCTCTGCCTTTGTTCCAGTACCATGCTGTTTTAATTATTACTGCTTTGTAGTAGTTTGAAGTTAGTGAGTTTGATTCCTCCCATTTTCTTTTTCTCAAGAATTTCTTTAGCTATTCGTGGGGGCTTATTGTTCCATATAAATTTCAAGGATGTTTGCCTCATTTCTTTGAAGAATGTCATGGGTATCGTAAAATAGTGATCGTATTGAATTTGTACAGTGTTTTGGGAAGTATTGCCATTTTGACAATGTTAATTCCCCCATCCATGAACAGGGGATATTTTTCCATTTCCTCGTGTCGTCTTTTATTTCCTGAAGTAGAGTTTTGTAGTTGTCTTTGTACAGGTCCTTTACTTCCGTAGTTAAGCTGATTCCTAGGTACTTGATTTTCTGGGGCACAATTGTGAACGGGGTTGTTTTCTTCATGTCACTTTCTTCTCTTTCACTCTTTCAGTACAGGAAAGCCATGGACTATTGGGTATTGATTTTATAGCCTGCAACTTTACTATACAAGTCTATTGTTTCCAGGAGTTTCTCGGTAGAGGTTCTGTAAGTATAGTATCATATCATCTGCGAATAGTGAGAGTTTGATTTGTTCCTTTTCTACCTGAATGCCCTTAATATCTTTTTCTTGCCTAATCGCTATTGCAAGTACTTCCAGTACTATATTGAACAGTAGTGGAGAGATTGGGCATCCTTGTCTCCTCCCTGATATTAGGGGGAAGACTCTCAGTTTTTTTTCCATTGAGGATGATGCTTCCTGTAGACTTGTGGTAGATAGCTTTAACTATATTGAGGAAAGTCCCCTCTAACCCCATTTAGGCGAGCGTTTTCATCATAAACGGGTGCTGGATCTACTCAAATGCTTTCTCTGAATCTATTGATATGATCATATGATTTTTATCTTTTCTTTGTTGATATGATGGAATATGTTTATTGATTTCCAAATGGGAAACCATCCTTGCATCCCCGGGATGAATCCCACTTTGTCATGGTGTATGATCTTTTTATGAGTTGTTGATTTCTGTATGCTAGTATTTTGTTGAGAATCTTCGCATCCGTGTTCATCAGGGATATCAGCTTGTAATTTTCTTTTTTGTGGTACCTTTGTTTCCCTTTGGTATTAGGGAGATACGGGCTTCATAGAAACTGTTTGGGAGATTATCTGTTTTTTCAATTTCCAGGAAAAGCTTAAGAAGTTCTGGCAATACGTCCTCTTTAAATGTTTTGGAAAAATTCGCTATTAAATCCATCTGGACCTGGGCTTTTGTTTTTGGAAAGTCTTTTGATTACAGTTTCAATTTCCTTGATGTTAATAGGTCTATTCAGGTACTCTATTTCTTCTTGATTCAGCTTTGGAAGATTATAGAAATTCAGGAATTTATCCATTTCTTCTAGGTTCTCTTGTTCCTTGGCCTACAGACTTTCAAAGTAGTTCTCTGATGATCCCTTGAATTTCTTTGGTTTCTGTTGTTATATCCCCATTCTTATTTCTGATTTGATTTGTTAGGGTTCTCTCTCACAGTTTCTTTGTGAGTTTTGTTAGTTGTTTATCTATCTTATTTATTTTCTCGAAGAACCAGCTCTTGGTTTCATTGATTGTTTTATTGGTTTCCGTGTTGTTGATTTCTGCTCTAAGCTTTATGATCTCTTTCCTTCTGTCTGATTTGTACTCCTTCTGTTGATCCTTTTCTAAGATCTTGAGCTGTGAAGTCAAGTTGTTTATGTGCATCCTTTCTTCCGTCCTGAGATATGCTTGCAGAGCTATAAATTTTCCCCTTAATACGGCTTTCGCTGAATCCGATAAGTTCT